TTACTACTCACTAAGAGCTCTCACACTTGCTACACTAAAGAGCTCCACTAGATGAACTTCAAACAACAAAGCAAGCTCTCAATTCTAATTACACTAAAGAGCTTGCTACAAGTAGTTTGGAAGAATATAAATGAGTGAGTAGGGTGATTATACCATCGTGTAGAGGAGTAAACCAATCACAAGATGAATACTAAATCAATCACCGGGAGAATACCAAAGGGCAAGAGACAACCAATTTTCTCCCGAGGTTCACGTGCTTACCAACATGCTACGTCCCCGTTGTGTCGACCAACACTTGGTGGTTAGGCGGCTAAGAGGTGTTGCGCGAACCTCGTCCATACAATTGGACACCGCAAGAACCTACCCATAAGTGAGGTAACTCAATGACACGAGCAATCCACTAGAGTTACCTTTCGGCGCTCCACCGGGGAAGGTACAAGTCCGCTCACAATCACTGGAGATGGCCACGAACAATCACCAACTCGTGCCAATCCTCCTTCGCTGCACCAAGCCATCTAGGTGGTGGCAACCACCAAGAGCAACAAGTGAATACCACAGCGAAACACGAAGACCAAGTGCCTCTAGATGCAAACACTCACGCAATGCACTTGGATTCTCTCTCAATCTCACAAAGATGATGAATCAATGATGGAGATGAGTGGGAGGGCTTTGGCTAAGCTCACAAGGTTGCTATGTCAGATCGACCAGACGCAGGACCCCAGCGTTCGGTCGCCCGATGCTTGCCACGTGTCATCTGCTTCAAACGTTGATCGCTTGATTTCAACGGTCAAGTGATGACCGGAAGCGTCAGTTAGAAAGTGACCGGACATAGGGCCCCAGCGTCCGGTCGTTTCTAGTAAGGTTCCAAACGCGAAGTTTCACGACCGGACGCGTCCGGTCATGCCCGATCAGACTCACCCATCGTCCGGTCACTCAATGTCTCATCTGTGCGCCCCACATCAGCGTACATCAGCACTGACCAGACTCGGACCCTGAGCATCCGGTCAGTTTTCGCACCAGCGTCCAGTCACAAGACCAAGACCGCGTGCTCACTGCTGTCACTGACCGGACGCTGAACCCAGCGTCCGATCACTCTGTGAAATCATGTCTTCTCTGTATAGGGCGCTGGTGGCACCGTCGGACTGTCCGCATTCTACGGGCAGACACTCCGCCGGTGAAATTTCTTACCCTTGCTCAAATATGCCAACCACCAAGTGTATCACTTTGTGCACATGTGTCAGCATATTTTCACAAACATTTTCAAGGGTGTTAGCACTCCACTAGATCCTAAATGCATATGCAATGTGTTAGAGCATCTAGTGGCACTTTGATAACTGTATTTCAATATGAGTTTCACCCCTCTTAATAGTATGGCTATCGATCCTAAATATGATCACACTCACTAAGTGTCTCGATCACTAAAACAAAATGGCTCCTACTATTTATACCTTTGCCTTGAGCCTTTTGTTTTTCTCTTTCTTCTTTTCTAAGTTCAAGCATTTGATCATCACCATCATCATGTTATGATCTTCATTTGCTTCATCACTTGGAGTAGTGCTACCTATCTCATAATCACTTTGATAAACTTGGTTAGCACTTAAGGTTTCATCAATTAACCAAAACCAAACTAGAGCTTTCAACAACACATGAAATGGCATGTGAGAACATGTACCGAACTAGGGTACAGAGGTCTTGAACTAAACCTAACATGCCTTAGGTAATTGAAGCGAACAACAAGCACACGAAATGGCATATGAGAACATGTACTAAATAAGGGTACATAGTTCCTTCGACTAAACCTAACATGCCTTAGGTAATTAAACCAAACAACAAACACATGGATGTGCCATATGAATAAGATAGGGTCGTCCTAGTAGTGTGGCCACATAGCAAATTGTGTTGCACCTTCTCCATAGTTGCCTCCCATTGTTGGTGGTGGTGGTGGCGGGGGTGATGGCGGAGGCCCCTTGTTCTTGTGATTAGGGCAGGTGCAATATGGATCATTGCAGAGTGCCTCCTGTGAACTTGCACCATTGTTGTTGTCGTCGTCTTCGTCTTCCTTGTACCCGCTGCTAACTTCCCTTTGTAGATCGAAGATTTGGTCCTGTAGGTAGTAGATGTACTACTAATGTAGATAAATTGATCGAGGATCGATCCACCTAGTGAACTCACAATTTTCTTCGAACTCGGAAGACTACAATAAGTATGTCCTGTGAATTATAAGGGTATTCGAGAAACATATTTAACAAACGAAATGTAATAGCAATTACCCATGCTCGCGGACATTTGAAGAAGCGACGACCTCCGTCGATCCCCTCGGTGAACATCTGCACTAAGCAGTCCTCACCGTGCATGCATTTTGGCCAATCTTCCTTCCTGTTATCATATCCTCTGAGAGGGCACTCTTTAGTGAAACCACTCTTGCTCTCGGGGGGAAACTAATACACTAGTTCCTCAAAGAAATCAGGCCCAAGAGACCCCTCCCACACAATGGGAGTTCCCTTCGTTCCCCCCTTCCTCTCCTACTCCTGAAACCCTTTTATCTAGATGACCCACCAGACATTCCTACTCCAACGAAACCGAATACTAGTTTGGTTTTCCTTTTGGTTAGCAATGCATCCTAGAACGCATATATATAGGCGGAGGCAGGTTTGCTAGCTGTTGTATTGTGCTGTAAATGCTCCTAAAAAGTCTACTTAGAATCATCGAAAAGCCTACATCGTAGGACACTGGAGAGCCTAGATTCCATGACTGAAAAGCCTATTCGATTTCAGACTTCAATCACTATTTCGAAGGACACTGAAAAGTCTATTCGACGGTGACATAGCAAATCACTGTAAATGCTACATTATTTTACTAACTGTAGTTGGATACGATGACATAAACGTACTTGGCCGCTAGTCTACTCCGTTGCTACTCAGCGGCTCAGTGCTCGTCCACTCGCATGCAAGATTGGCTCACATGCATGCAATGTACGTAATCACGTTCAGTTCTTTTGCATAAAATGGAAGGAAAGAAAAGAAAATCTCAACCAATGTGGTACATAATCATGTTCGGTTCTTTTGCATGAAAGAAAAGATAATTTCAACCAATGCGGTAGGCCGAGAGGCACACATGCATACTCATAACAAAAAACAAATTGATTACTTAATGAACAAAAAAACTGATGACACTGATTAATACGTACTTTAGGCAGAAAATTTCAGCAAAATTTCTCCTATTTTTTATGCAATCCATACACAAATATAAGATGAATATTTAACATCAATACAACATGTTCAAACATAGAAATATATGCCACATTCATCTGAAACCATATACATGAGCATATTAATAGTCCACACAGTCCATAATTATAGTCCATAGTAGTTCATAGTCGATAATAATAGTCCATACAATCCACAATAGTTCATAATGAAAGTCCACAAAGTCCATAATAGTACATAATAACATCTACCACAAACCCTCACTACCTCCTAGTCTTACCCTTACCCTTGTGACCAAGAGCGTCGGTGCCTGGAGTGTAAGGGTCAGGTGGACAACGTAGCCTAGTGCCTGAATAGCTAGCTCCATACATGTCCAACAACTAGGTTATCACCTTATTATCACTACATCACCAACTAATTAAACTAAATAGGTTATCATAACTAACTAAATAGATAGCTAACTAAGTAAATAGTCTAACTAGGTTATCACCTAATCTCTAGATCACCAACTAATTAAACTTAATAGGTTATCACATTACCATACTAAGTACATCAATAAACTAACTACAACACCACAATTCAACCTCACTATCTAACTATGGCAGTGCACGACGCAGTGGAGAGCAGGAGGAGCGCCAGGCGCGGTGGAGGGCCGTGGGATGGGGTGGCGGAGAACGACCTCCACGTCCGGCCAGACATGGAGGACGGGGAGGCAGCAGCGCCTGCCCCCGCGCCGTGGAACGGGCAGAGCGCGGTGGTCGCGGTAGCCGCGGCGAGGAGGGGGCACGTGGCACGGACACCGGGGCGGTGGCGCGGGGCGCGGACACTGGGCCGGGCCGCGGTGGCCGGGGCGGTGGGCTAGCCGGCCGGCGCAGCGAGGCCGGGACGGGGGCGCAGGGCACAGACGCTGGGGCGGTGGGCCGGCCGGCGCAGCCAGTCCGGGACGAGGGCGCGGACACCGGGGCAGTGGCGCGGGGCGTGGACGCCTAGCCGGGCAGCGGCGGTCGGCCGACGCAGCGCGGCCAGGACGGGGGCGCGGGGCGCGACGGTGGGAGCGGCGCCAGCAGCGAAAGGCGTCGGGCGAGAGAGAAGAAAGGAAGAGAGGAAAAGGAAAGGAAGGAAGAGAGAACGAAAAAGGACCCACCTGTAAGGCCGGTTCGGCGCCAGGATCTATGACGCCAAACTCGGTGCCAAGATTGGCGCCAAGATCCACGGCGCCGAGTTGGCTGCCATGTACCCCCGGCTCTACTTTGATGCCGACGTGGCCCCCCGACCTAGGCGCTAAACCCTTTGGCGCCGAGACGTGTAAGCTCGGCGCCACCATAGATGGCGCCGAGCTAAGGGTCTAGATTTTTAAAGCATACCTCCAGGGGTATATTTGTGAAAAACTTTCAAAAAAAAGGCAAAAAAAGAAAAAAAAATCGGTCACCTCCACTCGCAACGTCGCACGCTCTGCTCGGAGTGCCGCCTCCTCTGCTCGGCTCAGGAGCTGCAGAAACCAACGGCTTGCTCACCTGGGGAGATGCCGGGATGGAAGAAGAAGGGGATGGGGTTCCTCCATACCGGCGGTAGGTGGGGCACACCCTGCCGTATGGGGAGCTCCGCCTCTGGTCACATCATATATGGCAATGGACAAGAAAAACTAACGTTAATATATGGTGGGCTAACCCACCGTCAACATATGTAATTCTGTCAAAGAACATTGAAACAACAAAGCGGTGCATCAAGAGTTCAACAAGCAGAGCCAAACTACATATATGAATATATGATTGAATTCCAATTGTTAGTCCAGCATTAAAAAGGACCTGTGGTATTCAACATACCAATTACAGGGAAAGAACTAAGCTTTTGCCTTTTGGTATACTTGCAATGTAAATGCATGCTATTACCTGGAGCATATAGATTCTTCAATGGATGGACAGTCCTGCAATCGCTAAGAGGACTGGTTTCGAAAATCTTTTCAGACTGCATCGACTCGAGATGGACCATGAAGACGCCGCTATACGTTGACACAAAAATCAGATTATCATCCCCTGCAAGCCAAAGCACTTTCCAGTACCCTCCCGGTCTCAGACCAAGAAGCCTGTCTATTCGTCCACGCATCCATCGAGCACCACCACCACCATCAGAGTCGGCAGTCCTCTCCCACAGTACCCACAGCTGAGCTCTGAGGTCCGCTGACATGACGATCAAGCTAGGCCCGAAATCGTCTGCAAGCGTACACAAGTAGATACCATAATGGTCTTCATAGGCACTCGGTGGCACCTCAATCACAGCCAGGTCCTGGGTACCTAAATCAAACTGAAGGATGTGAACCTGATTGCCAAACAGGATCCAGTAAAGGGTGTTCCCAACCATGACGTTTCCAAGGCCAACGGTGGACCAGGAGTCGAACGCCGCAGAGACGACGTCGCCCCACGGGCTGGTCTCCGACGAGTAAACGCAGATGTGTGCAGTGCCGTGGTGGATTTCGTCCCACGCCAGCGCGAACTTGAAGGGTCCCTTGTCGCTGGCGGCGCGGATCACCGCCCCTTTCATGTACGCCCCGTTCTGGTTCCGGTCAGGGTCCAAGAACCGCGTGATGTCGAGGAAGTGGTGCTCGCCGGTGACGGGGTTCCACACCAGGAACTCGCGGGTGCCGTGGCCGTAGCGGCTGTGGGAGAGGACCACGCGCCCGTGGCGGCAGCCGTGGGGTACCCAGGCGTAGCCACGGCTGCCGTCGCCGTCGCAGTCGGCTTGGCAGTCGCGCTGCACACGCACGGAGAAGCGCTTGGACGGGGCGGGGTACCACGGCTCCGAGATGGACCTGAAGGAGAGACCTTGGTCGTCGCTGCCGAAGAAGACGCCGAGGGGTCTCCAGTGGTGGGCGCGGAAGCGGCGGATGAAGCTGGGGTCCGTGACGAGGCGGCGCCAGCGGGTGCAGACGAGGGACGCCAGGGGGAGCGAGGACGGCAGCGGGGATAGGCGGAGGAGGATCTCGGTGAGGAGGTCGTCGAGGTCCATCGGAGAGGCGGCTGGCGACGGCGACGTGAGGTGCCGGCGCATCTCGTCGGCGCCCCCGAGTGAACGCGTGCCCCGCCGTGTCGCTTGCGAAGGCCGAAGATCGACGGGACGACGGGGGGGCTCGGAGAGGAGGACTTGGTCGTCCATGGATGGATATGGATGGAGGACGGGCAAGGGCAAGGGCCAAGGAGAGCGTCGGCTGCCGAGCTAAGAGCTGAGGCTAGTCTCCTGAGTCCTGACGGGCAAGGACCTCGAGTTGACTTGACTGTACAATCGTATGATCCGTATTGGACTCAAGGTCTCCAACTACAATCGTATGATCCTAGGATTGTATCCTACTCCCTCCATCCCAAATTGTAAGTCATTCCAAGAATCTTGGAGAGTCAAAGTTTTTCAAGTTTGACTAAATTTATATAACAAAATAATAATATTTATCATACCAAGTAAGTATCATTAGATTCTTCATTAGTTATATTTTCATATTATACCTATTTGATGTCATCAATCTTTGTATTTCTCTCTATAATTTTAGTCAAACTTGAAAAAGTTTGACTCTCCAAGATTCTTAGAATGACTTATAATTTGAGATGGAGGGAGTATAATATATCCTAAATTTTATAGTATCTCCATCTTAGACAAAGACTCTACGGACTTGCTAGTGCCAGGGCCTCTATTTTGGGAGCGTTAGCGTCCGTACGTTGTCACGCTTCATATGGCCTGCGTCGCTCTGTTTCCTGTGCCTATGCGCGCCCACGCGAGTACCGCGTCTCGATCTACGCCCCGCTCTGTTTCCATGTCTGTCGTTCACGATGGCGGTGGCAAGTGGCTTCCACTGCAACACGTGTAACACCAAATATAATTTTATAACATCTATATAAAATACTTGCAATATATATCCGAAACCGTTGAAACACTTGCAACATACGTCTAAAACACTAGTAAAACACCAGAAAAAACTTGAAACCACGTGTGTAGTTGTTGCAAACAACTAGATGAAAATACTTGCAACATACGTATGAAAACACCTGAAACACACTTGCATATATATGCAACATGTAGATCTACTTTTGTAACGTACAGATGAAACACTTGCAACATACGTCTGAAATAGATGAAACATTTGGAACCTACACTTGAAACATATGTGTATAGCTATTGCAACATGTTCAACATCCCGATCTACTTTTGCAACATCCCAATCTACTTTTGTGACATACCTCCGAAACACATGAAACACTTAAAACATATAGTTGCAACATGTGCTTTTCAGCGCAAAACATCTCCTTGTTGCTTCGGCGAATGGAGGCTCATCGGCGCGTGGAGGTCACCGGTGTGCTCACAGGCGGCGCGAAGTTCGCTGTCAATGCGGAGCTGGGTGGCTGCGTATAGAGGGCGGGGTAGGGCGGCATGGGCAAAGGTGGCGCATAGGACGGGTGGGCGGCGCGTGAAGGTCACAGGTGTGCTCGCCGGCGACGCGGAGCTCGGTGGCACAGAGGGCAGGGTGAGGACGGCGCGTTGAAGCCGCAACGGACGAGATGAGTGGGGTGTCGCTAGGTGCAGACTCGTCCATGCGTACATACGCCTTCCATGGGAGGAAACAGAGGTTGGTGGGGATCACCTGGGAGCAAAGCACGGCAGCAAGGCATGTGGGTGGATGCAGCGGCACAGGGAGCGAGCAGAGAAAGGAGGAAGGTGGGTATGTACGCACAACGATGCAGTGAGTGAGCCCTTGCAGTGGAGAATGAGAGTCGTGGGCCTGTGCGAAGAAGCCCGAAGCGGTGTCGTTTTGGTCCATGGCGTTAACTGTGGATGTGACATGCATTGAAAAGAGAACGGTTCGGACGCCCTAATCCAAGCATTTCCGAAGATTATATGTTTTCGAGATGGACCTGAAGGAGAGACCTTCATCGTCGCTACCGAGAAGACGCCGAAGGGTCTCCAGTGCTGGGCGCGGAAGCGGCGGATGAAGCTGGGGTCGGCGACGAGGCGGTGCCAACGAATGCAGACGAAGGACGCGCGGGGGAGCGAGGACGGCAACGGGGACAGGCGCAGGAGGATCTCGGTGAGGAGGTCGTCGAGCTCCATCGGGGAGGCTGGCGACGGCGACGTGAGGTGCCGGCACAACTCGTCGGCGCCAAGTGAACTCGTAGCCCGCCGTGTTGCTTGCGAAGGCCGAAGATCGACGGGACGGGAGGGCTCAGAGAGGAGGCCTTGGTCGTCCATGGACATGGTGGACGCCGGGTCACCGATGGGCAAGGGCCAAGGAGAGCGTCGGCTGACGAGCTGAGAGCTGAGGCTAGTCTCCCGAGTCTTGACGGACGAGTTAACTTGACTGTACAATCGTATGATCCGTATTGGACTCAATGTCGTATCCTGATCCGTATCCTACAATCGTATGATCTTAGGTTGGTATCCTATAATATATCCTAAATTATGAAAATAAAAATCACAAAAAATGATTTAATAAAATATGTACTTATTCTCTTGTGTATGATTTTTTAGACACGTGCGTGCCGCACGTGCATGTTCACTAGTATCCTAAATTTTAATAAATTTTATAGTATATCTCGCTCTTTTTTTTAGGTCAACTTCGGGGGATCGAAACGGATCCCCACCTCCAATCCATTCCACAGATACCTAGGAGGACTCGGTTGGTGGAAGGCAAAGCCTTGCACAATTTTACAATAGAGGATTACATGTTCGGGGTGTTTAGATTACATAGATAACGCTAGTCTCCAACTATTAGCCATAGCTTCTTTTCTCGGGATACGACAGCTCCAGTTCTTGACAGACTCCTTACACGTCGATGTGATATCTCGCTCTTAGGTAAAAGACTATATGTTTCTGCATAAAATTTGTAGTGTCGGTGTTTTGGACCGGGGGGTCCTCAACCAACTAGTGAAAGTGTACTACGTGTTCCTAATCTCGGATGGTGATGCAAAGAGACACAAGGTTTATACTGGTTCAGGCAATAGGTGCCCTACGTCCAGTCTGAGAGAGCGATCTTATATTCCTTGCACCGAGGTGCTTGTAGTAGGGGCTTACAAGCTGAGCGAGAGAGGGAGCTAGTCTTAGGTATCTGCGTGGAGTGGCGTGGGTTGCTTGAGATGTTGATCTCTTGCAGTGAGGGAGCGTGTGTGTTACAGAGCATTGCGCGTTGCTTGCCTAGGTCTCTCTCCTCCTAGAAGCGGCCCCGGTCACTCCCTTTTATAGTCGAAGGGAGGCACAGGGGCGGTACATGTATTTGCTATGTGGCGTTCTTCGACAGGGGCGGCATGTCCGAGCCCTGCAGCTTATCACTGTGGCGCGTGGTCGGTGGAGCGGTCTTGTCCTCCGTGCACTAGAGCGACGTGCCGGTCACGCTTGATCCCGTGAGACGTGGGAGCTCCTTTGGTGGCAGGCGCGCCTTCTTCTGTTGGAGGCGTGCTGGTTACTGTATGTTTGACCGGCGCGGAGTGCCGAAGCCGGGTTGATGCGATGGCACGGGTACGCTGATTCCGAGGCTACAGGAGCTAGGCCTTGTGCGCGACGTGGGAGCTCCTGTAGCCTGACGCAGGGTATGGCGCGTTCTGCGGGCGACGTGTCGGTCCCAGAGTGCTGACAACGTGGAGAGCCGAGGCCCAGTCGATGTAGAGGCTGGACCATTGTGGGGGGCTCGGCGGCGTGAGTCCCGAGGCTACACGAGCCCAGGAGCGGATAGCCGAGGCTCGGATGGAGCAGTTGGTCTTGTTCGTTGATTCCGAGGCTACAGGGACCTGGACTTGACTCTCCACGCCGCGCTATCCTTGGAGCAGGGGTTAGGCAGCACAGTGCAGCACGGGTGTCAGCCGTGGGCACAGTGCCGAGCACAGCGGTCAATAACCCCTGCCTCGTCCTGTCCCGGACTACATGGCGTCGATGTGACTCCCGTCTTGTCAGCCACTCCGTTGTACTGCGCCAACGTGTGGCTGACGTCGCGGGAGTGGTTGGACGCGTTGGTTGGATGTGACATCCTATCAGGGAAATCGTTCAAGGCGGCGGTGATGGGGTTGATGCCGAGCCGGCCTCAGGCGGGTTTGTAACTGAGTGCTCATCCGAGGCCTCGTGGCACAGGGCCTCAGGCGAATCGGAGAATCGGTACCTTGTCCGAGGCCTTGCGGTGTGGGGCCTCGGGCGAGTCGGAGAATCGGAACCTCGTCCGAGGCCTTGCGGTTTGGTTCTGGGCCGAGCCTGCTTCGGGCGAGCCCGGATATTTGTTCGAGGTGGGCCGGGCAGTCCAGTCGGGCCTCGGATGTGGCGGGTTTGCCTATGGTTGTTTTTTGGTTTCATTATTTGCAAGGTCTAAGCAATTTTTTTGGTTCTTGCTCAGGGTACCCTTTATTATGGTATCCGACAGTAGCCCCCGAGCCTCGAGGGGAGTGCGAGCACTCTCCCATAGGTTTTGATGAGATTTGGCTCGCAGCAGCTCCCATCGGGATGGTGTTTCGTACTCAAGGCCTCGGTGGGTGCGCGTGAGCGCACCCGCCGGGTGTAGCCCCCGAGGCCATGGAGGAGTGAATTTACTCCTCTAGGGGCTTTTCTCATGTTGAGTGAGGGGTTTTATCACGTTTGCCGAGCCCCCGGGTGCGAGTTCGGGTCGCTGGGTCTCGGTTTGGTTGCAGGAAGAGCCCCCGAGCCTCTGCCCGGAGCAAGAGGGCGGTCAGGAGTTTTCCTATCTTTTTTGTGCGGCCCTCGCGCATCCTTTTAGTTTGGAAGGAGGGGTGGAGTGTGCTAGGCTACCCTCGGTGGGCGCGAGTAGTGACACCTCCGGTGAGCTGTTATCGGGTAAGTCCGAGTGGTGGCCCGTGCCCCATTCGATAGGGGTCGGCTAGCGGTCTAGAGACACACTCCAAAAGTACCAGAGGGCTTCTTTAGTGGGTCCCAGGGCCATTCGATTGGCCCTTGGGGCTCGATGCCTCCCTACGGTGGGATTCCATTCAGAGACTTCCCTGCCGGTCTCGGACACGACTTAGGGCATCCCA